ATATAATCTAGGTTAAGGCTTTTATGTCCAACAGATGGCGCTACGAGTACGACGCCCTAAGTTTGCTTTTCTGTGAGGCATTATGCTTTTCTGTGAAAATGAACTAAAGCAGATCATCTTCTATCTATTTATATAAATAAAAATGTAATGTTCGTTTGTTCCTACCGATTCCTTTGAAATTTTGACACAACGCTGCATTTGAATACGCACGTGTTTTTATATAATATACATGTCGAAATTCAACCCCACTGAAGGGAGATGGTTAGGATTAAGTCTTACAGTAAAGAACTCTGCTTCTATTTATACTATTTTAGATGCAGGTTTTTGCATTTTTGATTGCGTTTTAATAGGGTATGTCAAGAGAATGTACACTAAGAAGAAATTTTTCAAAAAATTCCCCCCCACAGGGGAAGTGTTATAAATTTATAATACATACATTTTGAGCCCCAACAACGCGTGACGGGGTCTGCTAGTATTTTAATAATTAATTTAGTTAGAAGATTCTAAAAGAAAAGAATTGTCTTGAAACAGAACTCAAAACTGCAACTCCTGCTTACCATGTAGTCACGTTGCCAATTATGCTGCTTGGACCTTTGTCTGATCTTTACTTCCAGAATTGTTAATTTAGATAAAACCATATTTGATTACTTATGGCTTCGGTTGGAGACAAAAATAATTATAATTAAATATTAATTGAACCAATCAATCATAATTAATCTGGCTATAAATTTGCTATTACTAATAATTACAGCAATTGTTTGGTTGAGTATCAATGTATCAGGCTTTGGGAAGTTTATTATATATACTGTAAATATTAATTTAATTATAATTTAGCAAGAGATGATGCATAATGCTTATCTCTAGTGCCAAATGGCATTATGATTTTGAAATAAAAAAAGAATTTTTTTATGGAGAGAAAAATTTAAAAATAATTAATTTTGTTAAGTAATAATAAGTTAGAAAAACAATATAAATGTTGTAAAACAGGTAATGTTTGGCAGCTCTATTACCATCCTCTTGTGCATGTACAGTACTATATTCGTTTTAATGCTATATCATAATGTCATCTTGAAGACATTTTAAATGTTAAAAAGGAGTTTAATTTAAACACTTGTTACCATAAATCTTATACTAATAAAAAACGTGCATCAGTTCAAATAACTGAAAACATCTATTATTAGTGTATAATGTACTTGGTGGTCTTTTTGAAATGACTACTGTTTTAGTACCAAATGATTTGCTGATTTTTTTTTATTGTGTTATATTAAGGCTAAATAAATAGATACAAAGCAATTTGGCTTGAAGTAGGAGATATTTTAAGCTGCCATCTCATGATAAATTTAATAGTTAGAAATAAATTAATGTTTAATTTAGAATATTCTAAATTAACAGAAATATTCTAAACTAAAAGTTAATTTATTTCTAATTATTAAATTATTGTAAGATAGTAGCTAACTATCTACTCTAGCCAAACTTATTTGTATCTAATTATTAATTAGTCTTAATATAGCCCAGTAAAAAATCTTGCAGAGATTGATACTATAAGGGTATTGAGTTGTGTATGTTATTTACTGTTTATTGTTTTGGACTGCAAATATGTCATCAGTTTTAAAGTGCATCTCATTTTTGGCCAAAGTAAAAAATGAGTAAAAACAAGCATCTTAGAATTGAGGAAATAAGTGTTAACAGTGCAATAAAGTTTCATATTTCATAATATGAATTAATTCTGTAATAACATTATTTTCTGATTAAAATTTCACAGATGTATTCATTATTTAAAAATGGCTTTAGACTCACATATTCCTTGTTGTTGTTATAAGGGGAAGGGATAGAGGGTTTTTTTAAATAATGGCTAAATTAATTAATTATACCAAGAAGGTGCAAAACTAATGGAATGTTTTTTGCATATCAAAAATCATTTTTGGTTTATTTGCACAAACTTCAGAAATATTTAAAAGAATAAAAGTTATATTATTGTTTATTCAAAATGCATTTATGAATATTTAAATAATTGAAAAATCATTTTGAGATATTTATCAGTCACCTTCTAATAAAACTGTTGTTCTGAATTATAGTGTTTTAGTGAAATCTTATATAAATCATCTCAATGAATATTAATTAGACTTATTTTTATTTTAAAAATTTTTAAATATTTATTAATTAAAACATTTAATTAAGTTCTTAGTTTTGTTTAAAATGTAAATTGATCTATATAATTTTAAAAACCAATCTTAACATTTGTTGTTATTTTTAATGATATTTAAATCTATAAAATAAAATATTAACATGTCTCTATATTGAATTTACATAGGATATTTTACGGTGTCGTGTTTTAACCTCAGGAATATTTGAAACTAAGTTTCAAGTGGAGAAGGTTAATTTTCAGTAAGTAATTTTATATGTTTGGTAAATGTTAATAATTTGTCACAAAAATTATACATACATTGTTTTTAATTTTATATCTGCATTATTTCAGATTAGCTAATGTTTCAGTACCAAACAACTAGCTAGATTTTTATTTAAACATAAATTTATCATTTTTGGAAACTTTTTATTATAAGTCATTATTAAGACTAGCCCATCTAGGCACTAAAAATCATATAAACAATTATAAACTTATGACTTTTATGGTTTTAAAATTATAATTTTTATGATTTTTAGTGCCTAGATGTCCTAACTGTAGTGATTACAGTAGACCCCCCCTATAACATGGTAGATACATTCCGTTTTATATGAATTCCGTGTTTTAAGAGTCACTTAAATACATGAGCCAATCACATCCCAGCATGTGTGCNATGAAGTCTTACAGTAAAGAACTCTGCTTCTATTTATACTATTTTAGATGCAGGTTTTTGCATTTTTGATTGCGTTTTAATAGGGTATGTCAAGAGAATGTACACTAAGAAGAAATTTTTCAAAAAATTCCCCCCCACAGGGGAAGTGTTATAAATTTATAATACATACATTTTGAGCCCCAACAACGCGTGACGGGGTCTGCTAGTATTTTAATAATTAATTTAGTTAGAAGATTCTAAAAGAAAAGAATTGTCTTGAAACAGAACTCAAAACTGCAACTCCTGCTTACCATGTAGTCACGTTGCCAATTATGCTGCTTGGACCTTTGTCTGATCTTTACTTCCAGAATTGTTAATTTAGATAAAACCATATTTGATTACTTATGGCTTCGGTTGGAGACAAAAATAATTATAATTAAATATTAATTGAACCAATCAATCATAATTAATCTGGCTATAAATTTGCTATTACTAATAATTACAGCAATTGTTTGGTTGAGTATCAATGTATCAGGCTTTGGGAAGTTTATTATATATACTGTAAATATTAATTTAATTATAATTTAGCATGAGATGATGCATAATGCTTATCTCTAGTGCCAAATGGCATTATGATTTTGAAATAAAAAAAGAATTTTTTTATGGAGAGAAAAATTTAAAAATAATTAATTTTGTTAAGTAATAATAAGTTAGAAAAACAATATAAATGTTGTAAAACAGGTAATGTTTGGCAGCTCTATTACCATCCTCTTGTGCATGTACAGTACTATATTCGTTTTAATGCTATATCATAATGTCATCTTGAAGACATTTTAAATGTTAAAAAGGAGTTTAATTTAAACACTTGTTACCATAAATCTTATACTAATAAAAAACGTGCATCAGTTCAAATAACTGAAAACATCTATTATTAGTGTATAATGTACTTGGTGGTCTTTTTGAAATGACTACTGTTTTAGTACCAAATGATTTGCTGATTTTTTTTTATTGTGTTATATTAAGGCTAAATAAATAGATACAAAGCAATTTGGCTTGAAGTAGGAGATATTTTAAGCTGCCATCTCATGATAAATTTAATAGTTAGAAATAAATTAATGTTTAATTTAGAATATTCTAAATTAACAGAAATATTCTAAACTAAAAGTTAATTTATTTCTAATTATTAAATTATTGTAAGATAGTAGCTAACTATCTACTCTAGCCAAACTTATTTGTATCTAATTATTAATTAGTCTTAATATAGCCCAGTAAAAAATCTTGCAGAGATTGATACTATAAGGGTATTGAGTTGTGTATGTTATTTACTGTTTATTGTTTCGGACTGCAAATATGTCATCAGTTTTAAAGTGCATCTCATTTTTGGCCAAAGTAAAAAATGAGTAAAAACAAGCATCTTAGAATTGAGGAAATAAGTGTTAACAGTGCAATAAAGTTTCATATTTCATAATATGAATTAATTCTGTAATAACATTATTTTCTGATTAAAATTTCACAGATGTATTCATTATTTAAAAATGGCTTTAGACTCACATATTCCTTGTTGTTGTTATAAGGGGAAGGGATAGAGGGTTTTTTTAAATAATGGCTAAATTAATTAATTATACCAAGAAGGTGCAAAACTAATGGAATGTTTTTTACATATCAAAAATCATTTTTGGTTTATTTGCACAAACTTCAGAAATATTTAAAAGAATAAAAGTTATATTATTGTTTATTCAAAATGCATTTATGAATATTTAAATAATTGAAAAATCATTTTGAGATATTTATCAGTCACCTTCTAATAAAACTGTTGTTCTGAATTATAGTGTTTTAGTGAAATCTTATATAAATCATCTCAATGAATATTAATTAGACTTATTTTTATTTTAAAAATTTTTAAATATTTATTAATTAAAACATTTAATTAAGTTCTTAGTTTTGTTTAAAATGTAAATTGATCTATATAATTTTAAAAACCAATCTTAACATTTGTTGTTATTTTTAATGATATTTAAATCTATAAAATAAAATATTAACATGTCTCTATATTGAATTTACATAGGATATTTTACGGTGTCGTGTTTTAACCTCAGGAATATTTGAAACTAAGTTTCAAGTGGAGAAGGTTAATTTTCAGTAAGTAATTTTATATGTTTGGTAAATGTTAATAATTTGTCACAAAAATTATACATACATTGTTTTTAATTTTATATCTGCATTATTTCAGATTAGCTAATGTTTCAGTACCAAACAACTAGCTAGATTTTTATTTAAACATAAATTTATCATTTTTGGAAACTTTTTATTATAAGTCATTATTAAGACTAGCCCATCTAGGCACTAAAAATCATATAAACAATTATAAACTTATGACTTTTATGGTTTTAAAATTATAATTTTTATGATTTTTAGTGCCTAGATGTCCTAACTGTAGTGATTACAGTAGACCCCCCCTATAACATGGTAGATACATTCCGTTTTATATGAATTCCGTGTTTTAAGAGTCACTTAAATACATGAATCACATCCCAGCATGTGTGCAATTTAGGGACTATGGCTGTTTGAAAGGTTTTCTTCCATAAAATTAATCGATTCTAGAGTAATTTGACTCAACATTTCCAAAACACATATAATTTTTTGGGAATAATCCATATAAACTATGCTATAAACAAAAAATTGTAAGATTACTTACCGAATGTGCACCGTTTGACGACGCCATTGCTTAAGCTTGTTTTTGTCACGGAGCGGCGCATTAAACAGTGGACGCGTGTTTTCTGCTAAATTATTTTTCTGCAAAAAATTCACTGAACTTTGGAGACATCATTAATATAAATATAATTTTTATGGACGTTAAATAATAAATGGTTTTTAGTAGGTCCGCTGCTCGTTTAAACTCAGCGGTTTGTGCAATATCCGCTATTGGTCTAGCTTTGACCAGTCCTGTCACAACACGAGTTGGCGATGACGTTTTACTGTATCATACGAGTCTCTTTTAGCGTGTTTATACGAATAAGATCGTAATTTTTTTGCCGTGTTATATGAATCCATATTATATGAACCTGTGTTATAGGGGGGTCTACTGTATATGATTTTATATACAGGGTGTCCCATAAATTTGTAAATACAGTGGAACCTTGGTATACAACCTTAATTAGTTCCTGATGTTTGGACTTATACTGAATTTGAACTATAGTATTTCCTTTTTCTCTACTGAAAAAAATCTCCCTTTGTGAGAATAACTTTTACACAAACCGCATTTAAATATACCAATTCTTTCAACTTTTATGAATTTTTAAACTACAGTATTTACAAATTTATGGGACACCCTGTATATAATTTAATAATAAATTTTTTCAATTGTTAATAAATCATTTATTGTAATTTTTTCCAAATTAAGTAACTTAGTAAATTTAATGGATTTTTATATTTAGATTATATAAGATTGGGTATTTTCCTTTGTTATTAAACATATTAAGTACTTATATTTTCATGATAAAGACTGCTATCATATATTAGTGGTATTTTCTATATCTTATTTAGAAAAATATTTCTAACTATTTTATAAGAGCTTGAAAATTTTAAGTTTTATTTTAATATTGCTTTTATATTATTTTTATTTTATTATAATGTAATAATAAAAATTTATAATTTACTACTATGAAATTTACAGTATGTTTGATGTTGGAGGTCAGCGGGATGAACGAAGAAAATGGATTCAATGTTTTAATGATGTAACAGCTATTATATTTGTGACAGCATGCAGTAGTTATAATATGGTGCTGCGAGAAGATCCTAATCAAAATAGACTTCGAGAATCTTTGGAACTTTTTAAAAGCATTTGGAATAATAGGTATTAAATCATAAAAATATATAAGATAGACATTCTATTTTTATAGTTAATTATTGAAAAATGGAATTAACTAAACAAAAATTTTGGAAAACAGTGAAAAAGTTTGATTTACAGACAATCAATTAAATCTAAAAAAAATTAAGTTTAGATTTATGGAAATTTAGAGTCAACAGTTAAGCAGCAAATGAAGAAAATAATGATGATATTGATCGATACTTTAACTTATCAATGTTTTAGAAATGTATTCATTTAAGACAAAATATTTAAAAAATTAGAATTTGCAGTATAAATGTTTACTATTTTCATTATATTACAGTAGAGTCCTGCTAGTCTGAACTAATTGGTACTGAGCTCTGTTTGGATTAGCTGAATAATTGAAATAATGCAGAAGCAAGCAGTAAAACAGGTTCAGTTTATGTAGATCCAACACCATCAATGACTTGTTTCTGTTTTTATGTGTAAGTACTGTATACATGTGCTGTTTTAAAAGGCCATGTCAAACACTGATTTATTAATTTTGTAAAGTATTAATACAGTACTACAATAAAATACAATTTTTTTTTTGTTGTGGAATTTTAAATTTTTTTGTACCATTAATACCATTTAAATTCAACTGGATAATACAAAAAATGTATATTTTGCAAGCTAAAACATTTCCTCTTCATTGACTGAAACATGTTAGTATTAGTGGTGTTTGGACTAGTGGGACTCTACTGTATGAATTAGTTTTTGTCAACAATAATTAATACTAATGGTTTAAAAATGTTTTATTTTTTAAAATTATTTAACTACTAATTTAATTTTATTAATATTTAAATTATTAATTTTTAAATTGTAATCTTAATGCAAGTCTTAAAGTATATTATACATTAACTTATATCCATACATTCACAATCACTCATTGAATCATTTTCATTGTCTTTTCAATAACATTTTTTTTTAAATCTCTAAAAAAATAAACCAATATAATTCATTAACTTTTCTTGAATGCATAACTTAAAATTGATTTCCACAAAGTGTTATGTAAAATTTTTAAAAGTTTTAGAATAGAACAAAATCAATTTACCTGTAACATTTCATGTTACAGGAACATACAGTTAATGAATGTTACATGTCCTGTAACATTTCATGTTACAGGAAAAAAATTATAAGAATGCTTTAAATTTATTGGTGTAGTTTCATTTCTTTTAGATACCTATGATGTTGTACAGTAAACTTGAAAGCATAAAATATTTGAGTAATCAACATTGGAATTCATTATATGCATGCACTATTAATGTTACCAGATGATTTAAACTGAAATATTTTGTTGTCTATTGAATATCTTCATAATTATTTGCATATTTTTTTTTTTCAGTTAAATTTATTGCATTTATATTTCAATTAATGATTATAGGAAAACTATGAATTGAAAAAAAAATTTCTAATAATAATGTTTTATGTTTTCCCAAGAAATTATCATAAGCACATGAGAAATTCTAAATACAACTAAATAAGAGTCACTTAAATACATGAATCACATCCCAGCATGTGTGCAATTTAGGGACTATGGAAGGCGAGATATATCTGTATTATGTATATAAAAATNATAGGCATCCCCACTTAATATCAGTAATCTGTTCATGAAAATCAGATGTTCTGCATGAAAACATTAACCAGAGGCCAATTCTCAATTACTTCAAATGAAGAAATTAAACTGTATTACAATGTCAACCCAAAACTCTCAACTAATTTCTTAAGATGTAACTAAAACACCTAAATACAAACAATAAACTATTGCATCAAGATGTAAAATGCTTAAAACATTGCTTCCTAATCATCAAATTAATCAATATTAATTTTAAAAAAACAGTTCCTTTAGACTTTATATGATACACAAATAACACACAGCAATAAAGAAATTTATTAGAAAAAATACTGACAAAAATTTATGGTAACAAGAAATCAATATAAAAACGTGCAAGGACTCTTGCACAACTTTCCTGGCACTCATAATTTACAAAGTTATGTATGACACCATTTGTTATGAGATTTTATTAAAAAATAACTTTTACTTTATTATTAATTATTATAAAAAGACTAACAAAAGACAAAAAACTTAATTTTGAAGACAAAGATGAGTTTTAAAACAAATTGTAAATGTTAATAACAAGTAAAACTTTCATTAAGTCCACTTGAGATATAACATATGATCTCCTTAACCTTTAACCATCAAAATTTAATAACATCAGTGTCTAATACATAGTAATAACCCTACCAAGTTTCAAAATTTTTGGTTCATCCAGTCCTGAAATATAATGCAAAATAAATGCAGACACACAGACAGAATTTTGTAAGGAATTCATTTTTTACATTTTTGGGCTTGAGTTTCAAAATGTCAAGAAATGCAAAAAATCTGGAGGTGATTTCTTATGTGCACATTTTCAGTTTTTTTTTTTTTTTAAATTGATTAAACNAAAAAAAAAAAAAAAAAAAAAAAAAAAAAGGTGGACAGATGGAGTGGTCGGGACACGGTAGAAAAAGGAAGGGTGAAGTGGTGGTCCCCGAAAGTGACAACGTTGAGTTTCAATTTTTATTCTGTTTACAATGTAAGTACCTTTTCTTCGTGTTTTAAATTCAATTGTGGCTTTTCTTACCTATCTAAACATAGTATGTATTTCACACCACCCCCTCGCCACTTAGACTAACCCTACGACAACAAGTCGATCGCGACACATTTTTAAGATATAAAGTAGATCTTCTGTACATAAAAGTTGGCCACCCCTGGTATAGACGATAGTAAACTCAATTTACCCACCTAAATTCTCCTTAGCGTGGCGCTGGACAGCGGAAAGTAGTTCGGCTGCCCGATGACGTTTTACCGAATTATAGGAGTTTTTTTACCAGGTTTGTACGGATACCGTCGCAATTTTTTCGCCATCTTATAGGAATCATAATTATAGGAACCCGTGTTATAGGGGGGTCTACTGTATGTAGTAACAATCTGGTCTTTTGTCCCAGTCTTTTTTAATATATTACAGTAAGATATACACTTACTATCTGGGAAAAGAATGAAATGTATTTATCCAACCCCCTTTGCCTAGTTAATATATTATGTTTCAATTGAATGCTACTCATTTGTCAGACTGACCCAACCACAGCAACATGGTAGACCATGGCAGTATAGACTCTTCTGCCATTTGAATCCCAGACGTAGAACCATACCAAAAATTCTATATCCTTGAAAAAAAGGTTTCTTTGCTCTTTTCTGAATAGAGACCTTAATATTCATTCAGTTTCTTGATAAAGATAAGACAAATTTTAAATAAAAAATAATGATACTGAATGATATGAAGTAACACCATCTGGTCAACAATCCAGCTTTGGATATTATAATAATAAAATTAATAACAGTAGTAAATAATATAAGAATATTAACAGTTACAACATAATAAAAAAAATATCATAAGTAATAATATTTATAGAATAGAAAGTAATAGAAAATGCATGTATTTATGCTGTGATTTTTTTTTCTTTAGACTACATTAAATCATTTAATGATGCTTTTAAGAATTNTATTTTTTTGCAAAAAATTCACTGAACTTTGGAGACATCATTAATATAAATATAATTTTTATGGACGTTAAATAATAAATGGTTTTTAGTAGGTCCGCTGCTCGTTTAAACTCAGTGGTTTGTGCAATATCCACTATTGGTCTAGATTCGACCAATTCTGTCACGACACGAGTTGGCAATGATGTTTTACCATATTTTACAAGTTTCTTTTAGTGTGTTTATACGAATACGGTCACAATTTTTTTGCCATTATATACAAATTTGCATTATATGAACCTGTGTTATATGGGGGTCTACTGTATATATATTTAAATGGGTCAATGGAAAAAGTTTTTTTAAAAGGATCAATACATGAAAAAGTTGTGAATGTCTGGTTTAGATATTCAGTGTTTGTGAAGTAAGTGAACATATTGAAAGCCCTGTTTAAAAAATATAAATTTAATGTAAAAGAGTGCAATAGCTTTTTAAATATTATTTTCTAAATTTGAAATTTTATTTTTTGCTTAAGGTTTTGTTATTTTTCTAAGATATGGTTATTTTATATTAGAAAGCATTAGTTTATTTGAAAAACACAATATTGAGATTTTATATATACTGGTTTTAGTTTATATTGGTATTTGAACTCCAAATAGAACTTAATTTAAGAAGAGAAGAAGTAAAATTGTAATTACAATTTAATATTAAAACTATCATTCTTTTCTGTTATTTATTTACAGAAGTAAAAATAATGTTACACATATAGCACATTGATTTTGAAAGATTTATTGTGCACTGTTTAACATTATTTTTAATAAATTTTTGAACATGTAAATTTTTGCAACCTTTTTAACATTTTTTTCTTTGACTTTAGCTGTTGTGGAATCTGGAGAAGATCCAGAAGTAATAAGGGCCAAATACTTTATACGAGATGAGTTCCTGGTAAATATTTATTGTTATTTTTTGTTGTAATATAAAAGTCATTTCAGTTAACTTTAAGTATCATCTGAATTTAAAGTTATAATCATATTATTGATAATATGGTTTTTTTAAGTTAGAATTTTCTTAATGCAAATTTTATTACTTAGATTTCATATTTATAATAAATTTAAACAAATATATGCAATAGAAATCTGAAAGATTTAAAGATTAAAATCTCCATTTTCATGATATTTATTTGAACGATTGAATATTTATTTGAATATTTATCTGAATTAAAGAATGTTTGATTAATATTGTTGTGATTATATACATATAGTATTAAGATCTAGGTTTTCTTCAAAGTTTCTGTTTAATTAATTTTTTATTGGCATTTATTAATGATTATTTCTCTAATGACAAAGTAAATGTTACACAACTTCATAGATGAAGAAAAATTAATAAAATGTATTTTAAGCAATATCAAATATTTAAAAAATAAGCATTGGAAAAATTAAAATCTAAGAATAGAATATTAGTAATAAATGAATTCTCATTTATTTAACTGACAAA